GTTATGTGTTTTGTTTTGATTCTTTTTTGAAAAATAAGGGGGGGGGGGGTAATTTTGTCAAAGGCATGTGTCATTTTATTGATTCTTAATTTCTGGTTTGCAGTGTTGGTTAAAACTCTTCATGACTTTACTTTTTAAAAATTTAATGTGCAGTTTCTTAGGGCATTGGTATAACATGTACATGTATAATGACTATTAGACTAGTATTAATATATCTATGCATATGGGGAGGACCATTTGCTATTCTAGGTAGGTGGTGGGAAGGGGATCCTGGTCTGTTCGCACTAGTACTTGTTCGCTCTGGGTCCTGTTACCAATTCGCCCTGTTCTTTTCTTTTATTTTGTCTTGTTTAATCACAAACATATATTGACAGATATACTGTTCCCAGGTTTAATGTAAATTAGTTGAATGAAGTATGTAAAAGTTTGTTGACAATTTAGTGAATAAACTGCATAAGCCATAACGTGTGAGGTAGTAAGATTTTTTTTTCTGGATTGACTTTTTATTTGCATTCATTGGTACACATGCTTTTCTTTCTAAATATATTTTCACTTTTGCATACTCAATGATGCAGAATATTCATTTTCAGCCTCTATTGTGTCATGTTATTTAGGGACCTTTTATACATGTAGCTTACTATGTGTTATTGGTTCTGCTCATTGATGAAGGCTGTCAGAGACCTATACATATATTTATTAACCTTTTCGTCATAAGGTATCTGGTGGAGAGTTAATTAATTGTCTCATTGGCAATCATACCCCAACTTCTTATTTTTATATTGGAACTGTAAACAAGTCGTAAGAAGGCAAACTGAAAGGGAACTGTAGTACCTTTAATAAATAACTACTGAAAAACAAGAGTGCACACGCTGAAATGTCTCACCTTCTTTTCTAACCATTGATTTTATGTTGATAGTCCTAAATATAAAGCTTTACTACAAGTAACACAAAAACTTAACAAGATCCAAGAAAATGAGGTCAAGGTCAGATCAACCAAATGAGAAATACATGTACACCTTACAATCATTCAATAAACCAAACATAGTTGACCTATTGCTAATGGTTTCTAAGAAACAGTCTTAACCAAGAAAACTTAACATTGACCAATGAACCATGAAAATGAGGTCAAGATCAGATGAATCATGCCAGACAGACATGTACACCTTACAATCAATTTATGCATTAAATATAGTTGACCTATTCCTTATAGTGTCTAAGAAACAAACTTAACCATGAAAACTTAAAATTGACCAATGAACCATGAAAATGAGGTCAAAGTCAGATGATACCTGTCAGACAGACATATACACCTTACAATCATTCCATACAACAAATATAGTTGATATATTGCTTATAGTTGAAGAAAAAAAGACCAAAACACAATAAAATGCTCCGCTGGGCGCAGCTTGATACGACCGCAGAGTTCGAACCCTGAACAGTTGGGGCAAGAATGGACACAACATTCAAGTTTGATACAGCTCTGAATTTGGATTGTGATTAAATATTTGACACAGCATAGGTTTCTGACACAGAATGAATGTGGTCTAAGAACTTAACATTTTTTAATTTACCTATAATATGGTCCAATATTCAAAATCTTAATACATGGTTAGATTCAGTACATCAAAGAATCCAAAGAATTCAATTTTTGATGAAATCAAACAGAGTTTAATTTTGGACCCTTTTGACCTTAATGTGGACCAATTTGATAACGAGGCCCAAAAATCAAAATACATGGTTAGATTCAGCATATCAAAGAACCCCATATATTCATTTTTTGTTGAAATCAAACAAAGTTTAATTTTGGACCCCAACTTGGACCAACTTGAAAACTGGGCCCATAATCAAAAATCTAAACACATGTTTAGATTCAGCATATCAAAGAACCCCAAGAATTCAATTTTTGTTAAAATCAAACTAAGTTTAATGTTGGACCCTTTGGACCTTAATGTAGACCAATTTAAAAAACGGGACCCAAAATTAAAAATCTAAATACATGGTTAGATTTGGCATATCAAAGAACCCCAATAATTCAATTTTTGATGAAATAAAACAAAGTTTAATTTTGGACCCCAATTTGGACCAACTTGAAAACTGGGCCTGAAATAAAACATCTAAATACATTTTTAGATTCAGCATATCAAAGAACCCCATATATTCAATTTTTATTAAAATCAAACTAAGTTTAATTTTGGACCCTTTGGACCTTAATGTAGACCAATTTGAAAACTGGACCCAAAATTAAAAATCTAAATACACGGTTAGATTTGGCATATCAAAGAACCCCAATAATTCAATTTTTGATGAAATAAAACAAATTTTAATTTTGGACCCTTTTGACCTCGATATGAACAAATTTGATAGCGGGGCTCACAAATAAAAAATCTAATTACATGGTTAGATTCAGCATATCAAAGAACCCCATATATTCAATTTTTGTTGAAATCAAACAAAGTTTAATTTTGGACCCCAATTTGGACCAACTTAAAAACTGGGCCCGAAATCAAAAATCTTACTACATGTTTAGATTCAGCATATCAAAGAACCCCATATATTCAATTTTTGTTAAAATCAAACTAAGTTTAATTTTGGACCCTTTGGACCTTAATGTAGACCAATTTGAAAACTGGACCCAAAATTAAAAATCTAAATACACAGTCAGATTTGGCATTACAAATAAATATGGTCAAAGATTTTACAAATCTAATGCGCCATACTGTGTTATTAAAGATTACTTCTTGAAATTTTTCAATATTTGAAATTTGAAAAAAAAAAAATATTTGAAGAATAATTCTTTTTAATTTCTGAAATCTGAAATGAGAAAAAATTGACCCCCCACAATTTCTTTTAACCCCCCCCCCCCCCTTTTTTCCCCCAAAAAATTCTTTCCCTCAAGATATGGTCATAATCTCAATTCAAATTTCCAATGGAATTTGCAACCATAATTACCCATTTAAATTTACCATAGTGCTAACTTAATCTATTTTATAATAGAATTTAAAATATGGTGTCAAATCTTTCATATGGATTTTTTTGTAAAAAAAAAAAGATGCAACATTTGCAGATATTTTTACTGGTCTTCCTTTATAAATATGCATTTCTTTAAACATTATTTAAAAGCAGTGTAAGGGAAGTAATCAAAATGTTGGATGTGGATTACCTCCCTTACATTGTTTTAAATTGTCTTAATTGTTCATTAACCATTACTTTATACATAATTTAAAAGCAGTGTAAGGGAGGTAATTCAAATGATGTATTTGATTTATCTCCCTTACACTGCTTTAAATTATGTTTTGTACTAAAGTATTTGTCCATATAATAATGCTTGTTTTTTGCCCCTTTTATGGCCCCTAATTCCTAAAATTTTGAGGCAATTACCCCCAAAATCAATCCCAACATTCCCTTTGTGATATGGAACCTTGTGGTACAATGTCAGAGAGACTCATACACTGACACACAAGTTATGTCTGGAAGTTACAAAAATGCTTATTTTTGGCCCCTAATTCCTTAACTGTTGGTACCATAACCCCCAAAATCAATCCCAACCTTCCTTTTGTGGTATTGAACCTTATGGTAAAATTTCATAGAGATCCATTCACTTAAACTAAAGTTAGAGTGCGAAAACCAATGTGTCTTCGGACGACGACGACGTCATACCAATATAAGATCGCAAAATTTTTTTGCGGTCGTATAAAAACTTGACACTGAGAAATGAACCGTGAAAATGAGTTCAAGGTCAAATAAAACCTGCAAGACTGACATGTAAATCATAAAATATTTCCATACACCAAATATAGTTGACCTATTGCATATAGGATTAGAAAACAAGACCAAAACACAATAACTTAACTTTGACCACTGAACCATGAAAATGAGGTCAAGGTCAGATGACATCTACCAGTTGGACATGTACACCTTACAATCATTCCATATACCAAATATAGTAGACCTACTGCTTATAGTATCTGATATATGGACTTGACCACAAAAACTTAACCTTGTTCACTGATCCATGAAATGAGGTCGAGGTCTGACGGGCATGAGGACCTTGCAAGGTACACAAATACTAAATATAGTTATCCTATTACTCATAATAAGAAAGAAATTAACATTACAAAAAATGTTGACTTTTTTTTCAAGTAGTCACTGAACCATGAAAATGAGATCAAGGACAATGGACATATGACAGACGGAAACTTCGTAACATAAGGCATCTATATACAAAGTATGAAGCATCCAGGTCTTCTAGCTTCTAAAATATAAAGCTTTTAAGAAGTTAGCTAACGCCGCCCCAACCGGATCACTATCCCTATGTCGTGCTTTCTGCGACAAAAGTCGCAGGTTCGACAAAAAACAATGAAATATTCAAAGGATACAATGAAGCTAGCCATATGAAATATTTGTTTGTATGTTGTGCACCTCTTTTCTCCTTTCAGTGGCAGGGACTATGTTATATGGTTGGCTGTATCATAACTTGTGATAGGATATAGTTATGCAGTGTTAAATGCCAGTCCCAATGGGACACAGATCCCCAGGCAACCCCAAATTGATAGGGATAAAATAATTAAATTATTTCACTCAATCTCAACAACAGGACAAAAGTGAAGGAAATCAATCTAAGCATACTAGATTATTTAAGTATGTGATATGTGATAAATATTCAAAAGTGAGATTATTTGATCAAATCTAGCCTTATGATACAATTTCTTGAAAAAGTATTAAAGCAAAATTGAGTTCTTCTACAACGTATGGGCAAATGTCTAATTTTCCATTAATAAAGTCCAATAATTCTGGAAAGGCAAAACTTGAATTCGCCAAAAGCAAAGTGAGCTTTCTGTAAATTATACTCATACAAAATAAAAGGGAAACACTTGAGGCCAGAGCTGAGGGAAGATATATTCGGTTGTCAAAAGTATACCGGTAAAATAAAACATATGGAATCTTATTTATTATATAATAGTGATATTGCTTTGATAAAAAATTTCATGAAAACAACTGAGTCAATAATCTGAATTTTTTACTAAATATTGTAACATTTCACTTATGCACATTTTAATGTTTATGATAAAATTGAGAATGGAAATGGGGAATGTGTCAAAGAGACAACAACCCGACCATAGAACAGACAACAGCAGAAGGTCACCAACAGGTCTTCAATGCAGCGAGAAATTCCCGCACCCGGAGGCGTCCTTTAGCTGGCCCCTAAACAAATATATATACTAGTTCAGTGATAATGAACGCCATACTAAACTCCAAATTGTACACAAGAAACTAAAATTAAAAATAATACAAGACTGACAAAGGCTAGAGGCTCCTGACTTGGGACAGGCGCAAAAATGAGTCTGTCATATTTAAAAATCCTCTTTTTACTACACTTTGGAGCCCATAGTCTGCTAAAGCTTCATTTATTTAATCCTGCATTAGTTCAACAAAAATGTCTGCTAATAATCACTTGAACCACCTGAGTTATTTGGTGGGGTTACCATTCTGTACATGAATATATCTCTCTTAATAAATTTCGTATACATTTTGTAAATTGCTGATTCCAGGTATTAAATTTTTTATCCTCCAGTAAAATTATTCTTCTTACACGATGTGTTGTGTACTGAAAAAAGAAAATATTTTGTTATTAAATTAAAATTTGTTAATTCAATCAAGACGTAATGAAGAATGATAATTATAACATATTGTATTTCATTGTTATGGCCATCTATGACCCCAATACAGTCTGCTTAAGTCATTCTCTTATCTGAAAATATGGACAAATTCATTAAAACACTTCATTAGGATATAATGCACATCTTGTAAGAGTTTCTTCCCTTGTATAGTTTTTAATCATTTAAATTAATTTTAAATTACTGTACCCTTATGAAAACAGTTTAAATACCATGTATATTATGTTTTTGTTTCATATTTGGGGGATTGAAATCATAGCACATTGTCAATAACCCACTTTTGTAACCCTATTAAAACAGACAATTTTGGATTACTTACCCTTAATATATTGTAGTCCTATTGTTTTCTGTTAACAAAAATAATTTTGCTTTCAACATCACTGGACATTCTGTTTGATTACTGTTTTCTTGTTGTATGTACAGAATATCATACATGTACAAGTATTTTTGTTTGAATAAAAAAGTCCTCTGTTTTGAATTTTTGATCCATAGTGAACATCTTTCTCCATCCTGTAAATATAAAGCAAATTTACATACAATTACTATTAATGTTTATTTACTAAATTATTCAAAGCAAAATTAAACTTTGCATTGTTATTATCAACACATGAATACAAATTTGCCAAATAAATTACCAAGAAAATACATGTATTTATTAAGTATTATAGATAATTATGTCCCCAGCATTTTTTCTCAATACATGTACATAAAAGTTTCAGACAAAGAAAACATTTCAAAAGTCTTGAAAAATAATTTTTAGGTTTAACAAGGAGCAAATTTATGTTATAAATACCAAACCTTTTGATAACATTTTTATATTTAATAGTTTGCATAGACATCATAAGATCATAACATGTCTATTGTACAATGCAAGCTGAAATTTTATACATTTTGGGGGCACTCAAAACCCAGTTTTATTTTAATTTAAATCCTGGAACCACCACTGTCATGACTGTATTGTCACTAAATTGACACCTTGAATTTGACTATATTAATGAAGTTTGAGAAAGTAATATTGTTAATGAATTATCATTTCTAAGTAGATTGTTTATATAATCATTGGAAGAATATTACATGTCAGATATAACATGTATTTAAAGAAATTGTAAATTAATTAGTTTCTGGGGATTCATGTAATGCAAAGCAGCATGTGTACAAGCTTTTCAAATGGGTGGGTGATTGGTTAATTTCAATGTGTAAATTTCTTTTATAATTTTAGAGTTATGATTTAGAGGATGGCTATCTTAAATAATTTTTTTATGGGAAAGATCTGGTACATGTCCATGTAATCATGGTGATAACCGAACATAAAATAAACATTGCTCTGACAAGAGTGCTGACACAGGATGAACATAAATATTCTGTTCAATAAAAAGGAAAGAACAATTGTGTACAGATAGAAAAAAATTAATAAGCCATAATAGTAAAATAAGAAGATGAATATAATGTCCCCTTAAATTCCTTCTACCCACCCACCCACATAAAAATAAAAATTTTCGTATGAGTATGGATAGTGAACCCCCCATTGACAGAAATAAGTGCTTGTGATTGATTTCCCTTTGTATTAATGTATGTTAATATAGTAATGAAAGTTTTTTTAAATATTAAATTTTGGTGTATATGAAAGGGACGCCTCTGATTTGATAATGGACTTTTGAGTTGAATTTGATACGGTCAGCAAAATTCATGTTTATTTGGGGGAGAAATTATCCCCTTTTTAGAGAACTTACAGTCGGCATTACACGTGATCATCCGTGCTTTCAAATTTGATTAATTTTGGTCCGCATTTGCTGTTAGAGGTTTACAATGTTCTATTATCTGAGCACGAAGTGATAGCGTGAATATTTTCCAGGGAGATTGTGAAGAACACTTTGAACAGTTTGAAAACGGATGTTGACAACTTGTGTGGGTATAATATTCCCGGAGACAAGGACGGATACCTAAGACCGAAATCCGAATATAATTCACCAGTGGTTGGTGTAAATAGTGTATTCAATATATGAAAAGGAAATGATGAAAAATGGGATTTCAATTTTCATGTTTCATATAATTTTACACTTTATTTTTGCCGTTTAAATCATTTTTTGGGATTCCACTTATTTGAAAATAATTAACTCGGTATAACTGAAATAACTTGATCCTTTACCTTGTATGTTGTGTGGCATTAAGTTTTAGCATCCAAGAATGTCATAAATGCATCTTTACAGCATGAAATGTCAAATCCAACGTCAAACAATGGCCACCATTACGTGTTGACAACGTCGTCTAATGAACCGTATCACTGAGCACTGAAATCAATACTCAGGCGCTTCCGGTTGTCCTACTGCAAAGGAAGGTTTAAACAGAAATTACTGAAAACTAATCAATGATACTTGGTTTTAATTAAGTACGCCAATCGCGTGTCTCATCTACATTTAACTACTCAGTGCCGCTCCAATCAAAACATTGAAAGGCCAAACTAATCACGAAGTTAAAGAACATTTAAACTGTAACAGATAGTTGCATGAGTTTTTTATAATCAAAACTTTTTAACCATTTATAGGTTTCCTCCACCAGAGGGTCCCTACCCAAGTATTCAGCACTTACTTTCTTTCGATAGACCCCCTTATCCCAGCAAGTGACTAAGACCTACCTATTGTTTTTATTGTTAATCTGTTCTTGTCCTGAACATGCATAAAATATTTTTCCTATGGACGTTAAGCAACCATAAATCAATCAATTAATCGATCGTCCATAATCAGTCTATTTTATACTAAACGCGACTCTGGCATACAAAATTATCAGCCGGGTTTGTATGATAAGTTTGTATTCTTAGAAAATTTACAGATACTTTTATAGAACCGAAAGAGGATGTTTACACGTTTTTGTCATTGAGTTTTATCCCGATACCATTTAAAAGGAATTGGCAGTGGATTATAAATGTTATGCGTTTTAATTGGATATACTGTAAAACACTCTAGAGTCTATTTTTCTCATTTCAAATACTATTGGAATCAATTTTATCTTGATGAAAAAAATTGGAGAATAAACAACAATTACTAGGTTAAGAGATATTGTATTTATTGAAAAACAGTTTCACAATATCATTGATTTTCTTAATTTGCCGCTAAATTCTCTTTTGTGACATAAAAGTAGTTTCCTTTTGCCATGCACTATATATTTACTACACAGACAGGTTAATGTTGTTTAACTATCTTTCATCTAAAATAATTTAGATTCACCTTTGTAAAATTTCTGTGATTCTAAGACTAAATATTTGATAACAGATAAATGGGAGGTAATCGTTTCATATATTTATAATCGAAGGTCCAACGTACAGCTTGATTGATATTTTTTTTTTTTTGAAGTGATCTTGACAATCTAAAGCAATTTATCAATCGAGTAAACAATCACGATTGAAAATCAGTACTTTTATTTCTAAAATTTAAAACCATTTACTGATATTAAAAGGAAATTCCTCATTCCAAGAATACAGATCTTTATGTTTAATCACATTCAATCTTTCCAATTTTATTGCACTCTATCATATAATTTAACTTTATTTAAAAAAAAAATGTGTTAAATTTCAATTAAGATATTATTGTCAGACTAGTGTTAACAAATAAAGTTTCTCGTTATGGAATATCCGTTTCATAGACGGCCATTGATCTGCTTATTGTCGAAGAAACAATAACAGCCCCGTATGACTTTGTTCGATAATGGCACCACAGAACTTATCTATTATCGATGATGCACTTTTTATTAACAACACGACGGGTGCAATTTGTGAAGAATGATCTGCATACTCTGCTGAAGAATCACCTAGGATCATCCGCAGTTATTCTGTTTGTTTATATTGATGGTTTTTTGTCTTGGGTTGACGTTTTCTGTGTTGATCAGTGCTTAGATTTTTGTGTAATGTTTTACAGTTTGTTTTTGGTCAGCATTTCGGCAATGGTATTGTCTGTTTTCCTCCAAAAGTATTGTCCCCTCGATATCATCTGCATCGTATTTGAACAAATGTTCATGGTCTCACAAAACGCATATGTAAGTTAGTCTATCAGATTTCAAACGCGATATATCAATTTATTCATTCAACGAAAAAGTTGCTAAATGTATACATATCTAAAATGCTTACTGAAATGGACAGAACAATGCGTTTAACGTTACAGATCCGTCCTTAATAATATCTTAAGTATACACTGTAGATGATTCCCAGTTCCAAACAAATCCAATAAAACATTCATAGTCTGTATCACAGTGAACACCTTTACAGATATTTGCTTGGATTCGTTTTGGTCTCATATATAATTATATGTATTATTTTGTCTTGCTTTTATATTACGTTCAAATGAAAAAATAAAATAGGATTCGAACCACTGGGGTAGGTTTAATTTCTACGGTTATTGTTAAGAAATGTGTTCAAGGCGCGTGTACCATTATAGTCAAATTGAATCAAAAGAATTAGGATTTCAGTAAGAATATATCGTTACCACTTCGGAAATTTTTAATTGTCGTCGGTCTTCATGAACAGTTTCAGAAATAACTAAATTGAGGTATTTTGTTTCGTATTAAAATTTATAAAAGAGAGGCGAAAGATACCAAAGGGACATTAAAACTCATAAGTCGAAAACAAACTGATAACGCCATGGCTAAAAAATAAGAATGCCAACAAAAAAACCCAACTGTTATTAAAGTACAAAATGGAAAACTAAAAACTGAGCAACACGTACCCTACCATAAACTGGGAGTGCTCCCAGGTGTACCGGAAGGGTAAACAAATCCTACTCAACATGTGGCATTTGTATCCTGAACTTTGAATGGCCATTTCTATGACAATTATCGTCACTAACCTTCTAAAACTTTTTCAATGTATACATATATGTTTTATTGCGTACACAGCAAATGTTCCTTTCTGTGTTATTATTATATGAATGTTAAATGAAATATGTTACAGCATTTATATAATTAAAAACAAGTCGATTCATTTGGTATAGTTTGTCTTTAAAACGTGACAATAGTGAAATCGAGTAAATGTGTGATCGCTTATTATGAATAAAAAGAATATCTGATAATGTCTGGAACATAACAGATATCATATAAAAAACAAATGAATGTGTGGTCGCTTGTTACGAATAGAATAAATATATATCTTATTTCTTATTTCCGTCTGGAACGTTACGGATGTCAAATATATATTCTTGTAATACATTCATCTTTAAAGTAACAGAAGCACAAAGGCTACATGCACCATAATCATATCGCAGTCCTACAAGGAAAAGATTGTTTAACTGTTTCTCTACGTAGAAAGTCCAGCCAATACCACTAACATGGTAGCTAGTGCTATCTTGGATGCTACTTCGTTTATCGTGACTTTTTACATAACATTTGCAGTATATAGATGTATGTTATCTAACATTGCTAACACAATTTTATATTAATATTCTTGTAATGGTTACAAAATACATAAAAAAACACCATTACAAACTTAATCCCAATTATATATACTATTTCAGAAATTTACATGTGACGTCACCTGTTGTGGTGTTGATACATTTGTGTGACGTACAGTTCATAATTCTATAGTGGTGTAAATGAGAGGTGTCCGTTGTTATTCTGTGGTTTACATGTTGTAATGTACTATAATATTATTCATTTATGTATGTCTCTGTCTGGAGTGTTCTTGCGTTTAGTTGTAATGTATGTTAGTTTTTGTAGCAGTTCAGCGTTTATGCTGTTCCGTTGTTTTGCTCTTACAGTTGATGTGTTACCCTCAATTTTAGTTTGTTACCCGGATTTGTTTCAGTTAAATCGATTTATGACTATTGAATAGCGGTATGCTACTGTTGTCTTTATTTCTATTCTAAAGTAACTATTTGGAGGCAGATATTTTTCAAATCTGATTTTTTGTAACATTTGGTTTATAACTGTACACTGTTGGAAAATTTTTAATATACAATATCTGGTTGTGTGCAGAACAATAAGGTACACGTAGAGAGTCATATTTACCTCAGTATCATGTTCTTTTGTATAAGAAACTAACTGAAATAATAACTACAGTGCATATTGGAGAAATGATTTGAACAACAAGAGTGTCAATTATTTAACATAATCTTTATATTTTAATAAATAACCACGTATAAAAATTGTTCATTGCGATGCTAAACATAACGTTTATCTATGTTTGGTACATAGAATGTGTCATTAAAAGGAGATGTGCAGTATTAACCAATAAGCCAGCATTATCACAAACATGAAAAATTCATCAATCATTCAGCTTAGTCTTCTTCTAACCGACAGTAAAACTCTAGCGAAAGTCGAGCCTTGTGTGAGATGTATAAATTTTAAGTCATGTCCAAGTCAGAATTATTATTTAGTCATTTGTTGTTGACTTTGAAGTTGTATATGGTTCACAATGCCCAAAATCTGTATAGGGCGAAGTCAATATCCTTTCTGATAAATAAGGCAAGTTCAATAGAGTGTAAGATAAATTGATGCAAGTGTATTGATTTTAGTCATTGACCTATTTTTACTTTAGCAATTATTTATTTTACTTGCATTATAAATGAGTAACAAAAAAAAAGACCATTCAAAAAACCGCTTTTATATGATGCATTATGAATAATAGAATAATTTTAACATGAAAGACAGGTTGGTTCCACCGTAGAGCAAGGAATGAAGACTCTTCCTGAACACTTAAGTCATCTCTTGGTAGTAAGTGGGGGTCGTTTTTTTTCAGTTTTTAGTTTGCATGTAAGTCTTTTAGGAACGCTATTCGTATTTTCACTTTTATATGAAATCATGTATTTTATGTCTTTTAAAGGATATGGTGTTAAATGAAGAAAATTGTTAGTATTTATACTATTCTACGGATTTGTTTACACTAAATAGATATAAACACTGACAAGTTATTCGTTTGAGATCACCGTGTCAATTCTTATTTGAATAAACTACATTTACATGAAGGCTGTTATCTTCAATTTAAATGATAGAAATAATCAACACAACCACAATTGAAGATTCAATGATCAATGTCCATGTTAGAAGGAAATAACAATACTCTGTTGCAGATAATTCGTGGAAGATCTTAAACGAGTTAACAGTTGGACATTAAAACAAAAGTGACGACACCTATTTACTCCACTTAT